TACCCCAGTACCCGCAGATGACCGAGCATCGCCCACAGGGCCCCAAGGCCCCGGGAGGGCTGTGCATTTGCCGCAAGTCAGCCTTTTCTCGGAAGTCTGCGATTCTGGCTCAAAATGGACGTCACCAGAGAATACGGAGTGGGAGAGGGATGGGAGATGAAGACAGGTCTGGGGGGAGGGGCGCGGTGGGGACGTGCGGGGAACTGGAGGAAGGCAAATGCTCTGGCATTTAGAGGCTGGTCGGGACACTTCGGCCCACCCAAGGAAGGCTGGCTGGGGCCTCTGCCTGGATTTGGTGCCCGTGAGCTTCCCAGCGCTCAGCCGAGGCGTGGGCAGCTTCCTGGCGTGGGATTTCACAGCTGGAAGTCGGCGAGATGCCCTGGGCTTCCTCCGCCTGTTTCCCCAACGGTCTCTGAAGGGCCAAGAGACACAGCACACCTTTCCTTTTGCTTCCTTCATTCCCAGCTCACCAAATAATTGCCATATGGCCAGATCAGAGGTTCCCCAAGCTGCAGACCGGCATCTTTCCAGCTTCTCCTGCCCACCTTTCCTGATTCTTGGCGCCATTGGAGCTGCAGACCCAGGCTTTGCCAAATGACCAGTATACGGTGTTCTGGGGTGAGCTAGCCAGGATGCTCCTGTGCCTGTGTGGGCATCACCACTCACTCAGGACGAGGCTGGACAGGCACCTCCTGAGGATTTGTGGCCTGTGAGATCCAAGGAATGTCCACTGGACGTCACCTCTGCAGGTGTCCCAGGCCCCTCATGCTCCAAGGCCTGGGCAGGGACTGCCAGAGCAGAACTGCCTGCTCCCCTCTTGTGGCCTGTTGATTGCAAGCCCAGTGTTGCCAAGAGAATTTTCTGTGAAACACCCAGATTTTAAACATTAGCAGTTAATATAGTCCTGGCAGATGCAGAGGCTTCCCATGGGAGAACTTTGCTGCCAGCCTCTCCTGGGCCACACCTCCTAATATGTAAGAGACTATACGGTTTCCCAGAAAACTGTGTTCCCTTTAGTGCCTTGGGCTCCCTCCTTATGGCCTCAAGAATCACGGGAGCCAGTGCTGGGCCTGCCTCCTGACCAGGCTGCTCTGGAGCTGTGACAGCAGCCCCTCTGAAGAGGCTGACCAGTGGTTACCCTCAGGAGCTACTACAAGCCCCTGTAGGAAATTAAGGTGCAGGTGCCCACTACCTTTTGTTGCACCAGCGTAATGTGTCACATCGGCCTGTGTCCTTTGAGCAGCTGTTCTGTGCTCTGTTTCTGTAGATCATTTCAGTGAGCAGGTGGGTCCCACTGCTCTGCCTGCCTGTGCAGAGAAGGCTCTGTCCACCTCACTCATCTCTCCATGTCCCCCATGACGGAGCTCCCTCTGTCCCCCCAGAAAACCACTTCTTGAACCCCCCACTCCAGCTAGGTTTCATGAGTCCTGCCGTGGCCTTTCCTGTGCCATTGTAAACACCATGGCCTCCTGAACACATCTCCCCAGGAGAGGAGCAGTAGTGATGTCATTTTATTCCAGCCGTCTTTTATAAACAGATCCCAACTTGTATTCCTCATTGAAGAGTATGAGTGTGATGAGATGGTTCACCCATTATAAAGTTTTTAGGTCTCACGATGTGGGTATACCAACAGCGTAAGGAGGAAAATAAAATTCCCAAGACCAGAAGAGAAACTCCAACAGAAATCATGAAAAAAAGGCTTATTCCAAACACTGATAAGTCTTGAATATGCCACTTTAACTGCAATTTAGAAGGGTATTTTAGAACATTTCAGTAAAACAAGTGAGAAATTACAGATTCCTGACTTGAATGTATATGAAGAGTACCTTTTATAATCGGTTATTTTATTTAAGACTGGAAGGGAAAAATGGTTAAAATGGAATATGAAATGAAAGTGTTAAAGTTAAGTAATAAAATTAATAGAAATGGTTCTGACATCGAGAAAATTGTAACAAAACATTTTGAGGTCATACCAAAAGCAGCACATTAAGAGGAAAAAATAAATTTTAAATAGGAACAACGAACAGGTTTTTAGATGGCTCGATAATTCAGTTAATGAAGGGGAATGAATCAAGATAGGCGTTCATCTCATTTGTCGGGGAAATGGTGACGCTGACAAAGGGTGTATGTGATGAGAAGGAAAACTTGAAATGCCCTAAAATGCTTCAGTTCAGAGATGAAAAAAAACTGGATCGATGTTTTCCCAAATTGGACATGTCTAAAAATTTACATGTCTTTTTCAGTCCTGACTTTCAAGACTCCAAAGAATTTCCTTAAAGTTTCCATAATAAAAATGATGCTATGACAGAGGAAAGACTGTACTATCCTCCTCAGGTTGATATGGAAAATGGTGTTATGAAATCACTGTCTTATGAAAAAAGCCATCAGAGGAGATAGCCAAAAATGTCTAGGGGGAGGTGAGGAATGTATCTTAACCCATTTCCTGTTTAGGAAGAAAAACGCGCAGCATTAATTTAATTTTACATAAACACGCTCTTTGAGGCTGAAGAAGTTTTATTGGTTTTCAATGTGAAAATAAAATATAAAAATGTTCTTGGAGCTATTTCTAAACAGAACTTGTCTCTAATCCTAATGTAACAAATGTGTACATAAATTGGATTCATCAAATGAATCTTCAGCTAACAACTATTTAAGAACGATGTTAACATCACACATAGGAATGCTACATTTTCTAGGATTTGATATTTTCGGCGATCAAGAATTACTGTATTTTGTAATAAGAAATACCACTCCTAAAAACAGAATACTATAAATAGAATTATGTCATTGTTTTCCAAAGACTATCGGTATACTAGAGCGATACAAAAATAATAAAAGTGAGATATTTCATGGCAAACTTTGGGGATAAGGTTAGGACTGTAATCCATGAGTTATCTTGGAGTAAACGTTGCAGCCGCAAGCACAGCCAGTGAGTATTCACGGGGCAAACAGGAAATGGGTTAAGAGATATGTCTGGCAGTTAATAAAACACATTGTGTAATTTTTTGCATTTTGTGACATTTGTAATGTCGTTTTCCATGTGTAACTATTGTACTTTCTCATTCTAAAGAAATACTTGTTTTCACACCTAATTTTGTAGTTTTCTTCAAGAGGGCCTCCTCTTGAAGCTTTGGGCTTCATAAGCCCCTGCCTGCAGGTGTTTCTGAGTCATGAGGATGAGCACAGCTTCCAGGAGGACGTGGGAGGGGGTTTCAATCGGTGTCAGACCCCAACTGACGGCCTTGGCAGGAAAAGAGGCTATTTGATGGAAGAGGTGCCTGCAATGTTTTTCCCCTGAACCCATCCTGGCTGCCAGGCTCAGCTCCGCACACCCTTCCCTCAGCATCTCTCTCCCTGCTCCCAGGTCTTCTCGTGGGCACCCTGGATGTGGTGCTGGACTCCAGCGCCCGTGTGGCCCCTTTCCGAATCCTGCACCAGACCCAGGACTCTCAGGTCTACTGGACGGTGGCGTGCGGTAGGTGCCCTGGATCACAAGGGGTGCTGGGCAAGGCCTGCCCTGAGAGGGGCCAGGAGGGACGGGACTCGGCCTGAGTTGTAAGCTGGGTATTGCCCCCTGAGAACCTGGTGCTGCCCCATACTCACACAGCCCAGGCCAGTGTCCCGCTTAGTAAGGCAGCTCAGCCTGTCCCAGGCCTGCAGTACTCTGCGTCCTTTATGGGCATTTGTGGGAATGTGCATATGCAGAGTCCCAGTCAGCTGACACAGGTTCCCAGCTGGGGTGGAACAAGGTGTCCTCCCTTTTTCCGAGCTCTCAAACCGTAAACAAGTTTCCTTTTCACGTCTAAATGCTGTGTTTTCCCCTTGGTAATTTGCTCTTTAAAACAGCCCCACATGGTGCTGAGGCGCCTGTGTCTCTGTGTGGCAGGCGCGTTAGATGAGCTTCCTTCAGGCCTGAGTCAGTACGCTGGCCCAAGTACACTGTTAGCAATTAACGTCTTATGTTAATAAGGTGCCTTTACACAGAAGGACACATAAAACAAGTTACGTATTTATTGATCAGTTAATGAAAATGTCATGGCCAAAGGCTCCAAGAACTTAGCCCTATCGCTCCCCTGGGAGCAGTCTTGGCGAAATCAGTGTTCTACAAGACTCTGTGGGACATAACTACTGTGAATAATGAGAATTGAGAATCGCTGCAGTTGTCCCCCCAGCAGGAAACACGTCCCCTTCCTGAGAGTCTAGGGGGAAGAAGTCCCCTTCCACTGGGCATCTGGCTGAAGTCACTCGGTCACTCAGATAAAACTGTCCTAGCCAGCACTCAGCACTGCCTGCAGGCCTGGCACTTTAGGGAACTTTCCAACAACTCTGGAAGGTGGAGCTTTAGTTTTCTCTATTTTGAAGATGAGGCAGCTGTGGCCCAGAGAGGTTGAGTAACTTGCCCAAGGTCACATAGACCTGCAGTTCAGACCCAGAGGACCTATTCATGTGCCTAGGCTGGATACCTCTATGTGTTAGAAGCCACCATGTCACTGTACCCCAGAATAATGATCTTCCTTGGAGGCTTGGAGAGGTGATAGGAGCGCTCACGGCTGGACCCCAGCTTGAGGGAAGGAGGTCAAGGCTGGAGGCCCAGGGTAGGCAGCAGCCGGCACAGCCCCCTTACCTGGCACCTGAACAGATGTGTCCTCCCCTTGTGTGAGTGACTGGAGGAAAGCAGAGCCTGCCCAGGGCCAAGTTTGTTCTCTTGGTTCCAGAGCCTGAGTGGGGCATGGGGGGCTGGTTTGTCCACAGGAGAGAGGGGCTTCCTATGGGGACTATCCCAGAGTAGAGCCGGGAGGTTGCTGTGTGCCTGGGCTATGAGCACATTCTTTACTCTTGAGTGGGCCCTTGATATTTGTATGTTTCAGCGGGATTCTTCCTAGGGAGCAGCTGGGGAGGGGACAGTGGCAGTTTCTCTGTGGGGCAGAGGTGTGCGGCTGTGTGGTGTGGGAACCCCTTTGGTAGCAGCGCAGCCTGGTGCTGGGGAACCCCAGCCCTTGGCCTCAGGCTACACACCACACACTTACCTGCTCTCCCTTTTGCCAGCCCCGTAGCCCTGCCCTGGCCTCTGCCATGCCTCCCCAGCTATGCCCACCCCCACCTGTCAGCTCTCCCAAACCAGACATGGTCCCACTGGCACTGGCAGTGCACCCCGACTCCTCAGTCTGCCACTGAAGGACTTCGGGGTCTGCCTGCCCCCATTCTGCCCTCCTCCCTTCAGCTCACACCTGGCCTTCAGCCAGTCAGGACACTAGCAGGGCCTGAAGCTCCTACACACCCATCCTGACAGTGGGAGTACATCATCCCCCACATCCACCTGACCTCTTCCTCCAGCTCTGATGTCCCCTCCTGTGTAAAAACCTCCCCAGGCCTGAGTACCCAGCCTTCCTTCTTGCTTCTTGGGGCTCACCAGCCTCCACTAGCACTTTCACACTGAAGGCCTGCTGGCTCTCCTGCTAGACCGACAGGTCCCTGAGGGCGAGGGTGGGCTCTGCAACTGAGCAGCCTGGGTTAGGATTATGGTTTGGTCACTTCCCAACTGTATGACAACTTAACCTCTCTATGCCTTAGTTTCATCCTATAAAATGAAAATAATGGTACCCGTCTCCAAGGTGCTCTAAGAATTAAAACAATCCATGAAAAGTTCTGAAAGCAGAAGTAGCCCTGCTTAAATTAGTTGTTATATTCTTTTTATTCCCGGTACCTAACATAGAGATGGCATCATTTAGGTGTTTACTTAATACTAAATGAAGATGGAGTTACTTTTAACTAATAATTCTTTTAAGTGCACGTATGTAAATATTTAGTTATAAATATTTATAACTAAAGCACGTTTACAGATCCACACAGGCAGCATAGACAAAATTTCTTCTATTTTAGGCTGCTAACAACGTGAATGATACAGTAGAGTTAATTTCCATATTCAATGTGGGTGCTGGCAAAAAGACAGAGAAAGAAAACCCTTCCCCAGCTAACTAGACCTTGGCCTCCATGCACCAGGGAAAGGAAGCCATAATAAAAATGCAAAGAAAAATGGAAAAAAAATGGTAATTTGTGGATGATCAGGGTAGTTTTGCCTGCCATTGTGACCCACTGTGAGTTATAGAAGTCCAGGTTTCATCAACATCACATTGGCACCCCTACAGCAGCCGGTGGGGAGGGTCCTTCCTTGGAACTGTTCATTAGGGTGCTGAGCTGCTGGGGTAAATGTGAAGAAACAAACAGATAAACCCCAACCAGACGACTGAGCTGTGACAAGTGACAGAGCACCGAGCAGGTGCCTGGGTGGGGAGATGGTGGGGACTCACTTGGTCAGACCTGGGCAGGCTCAAGACTATTTTCAGCTTGTGGAAGAGTGTTCCCAGTTGGGGAATGACAGGTGCCTGGGATCTGGCACTCAGCAAATGTGTCCGTGGTCCACAGCCATGCTGGACTCGTGGCTTTGCCAAGGCTCCTCCATGCCAAGTGTGTGGCCTTCCCGGGATCACCTGATCGACAGTCCACAGACCATCGCACCCCAGGATGGCAGAGAGGGTGCAGGCCTTCACTCCTTTCTTATTCTTGTGTTCATTCATTCAGAAAACAGGTCTTGAGTGCAAACCCTATGCCTGGCACATGCAAAGCCCCCAAAAATGGGGTGCCAGAGGCAGGAAAAGGCAGGCCAGGCTGACACTGATCTTATCCTTTTGCTTCTCCTCCTAGGTAGGGCCCCTTTGCCCCATTCCTTGATGGGAGCAGAGAGGACAGCTGCCTCGCCCTTTGGGAATGACATCAGGCTGCCTTCTCTCAGTTTTGCCATTTGCACTGGACCTGCAGTGTCCACCAGGGCCCCTTCCCTGAGGAGGACAGGGACCACTTTCTAGGCAGGGTAGATGCTAGGGGCCAGCCAGAAGCCAAAGGAATCAGACAGGGCTTCCTGGAGGAGGCAAGAACAGGGCTGGGATTTGAGCCAAAAAAGAAGGGAGCATTGTGGGTAGAGGCCTAGGTGAGTGTATTGGGCTTCAGAGGGGAACGGAGCCACCAGCAGGGGCATGGGGTCTTGCAGGAAGCTGCAGCTGCCATCTACGGACTCCTGAATTCTCACTTATGCCCAGTCTGACTCCGTCTGGTTGGTCATCTATATAGGAAAGACCACATTAAGTCCTATTATCTCCAAGAAAATTTTCTTAAGTAAGCAAACTTGTAGATACATAGCCCATTTCTGGGAGGACACGTAGGGAACTAGCGGTCATTCTCACTCAGTGTTAAGGGGAAGTGGAGGCTTTATTTTCCATGTGAGTCTGCAATTCTGCCCAAATTTCTTTATTTTTTATTTTTACAGGACCATTTATGACTTTTGTTTTATACGTATACGTAATGCTTAAGAAGGAAAAAAATAAGAAGCTTCGAGATTGTAGTCACTTGGATATAGCAAATTCGGTCACCCATTTAATCTTTCTTCTTTGACTTTATGTATATGGCCTGGTGATTGTATAATTTTCTTTTCTTTACCCAACCTCCCCTAGGTTCTTCCCGCAAAGAGATCACAAAACACTGGGAATGGCTGGAAAATAACTTACTCCAGACGCTGTCCATCTTTGACAGTGAGGAAGATATCACCACCTTCGTCAAGGGCAAGATACACGTAAGATTCACCTTTACTTCTCTGGGCTGGCAGTGTTCACGTACATCAGCTTATAGCACCTTCAGACAACACGGTGTCAGTCTTATGCCCAATTTGCAAAGATGGAAGAGAAGTGCCCATGGCCATTCTCTTGGTGGTGGCAGGGGCAGGTGAGCTCACTGCCCACACAGACCTTGTCTTCTGGCCAGCCGCTGAGGTCTGACTGAGCTGGGAGTTTCCATTCCCTGCAAAGGACCCAAGAGATAGTATGTGAGTACACAACTGCCGCCCTCAGCTTGGCCAGCAAAGGAAGAAGCTGGAAGTAATAGGAGAGTTGGAGGCATGTTTCTATTATAAAACTGACATGACTTAAAACTGCACAGACCCTTTGACCCAGCAGTTCCTTTGCCTGGAATTTAGCAGATTGGGTGTTTATATGTGTCAGGGCGTTGACTGCAACATGTCAGCAGAGAGACTGGAGCGGCGCCTCCCAGACCTCTGGTCAGGAAAGCAGCTGCTTGCTCCTCTGCAGAGCAAAACGAGAGCCGTAAGGTTTGCGAGCAGAGCATTTACTGGGCACTTTCTGTGTGAGTCCTGTGCTGAGCGCTGACTTTTGAGCAGACTGTGTAAGTCCTACGTGGTATTTTACAGCTATCCAAATAATAATTATGAGAATTGCAGCAATGTGTAAAAACTGATGTCATGGTGATATTTAGGTTATTTCCTGTTCCAGGGCTAATTAACAGGATGATGAGCGTTTATCTGAATGTTTCTTTCTGTTGGATTGTAGCCTTAGGTTAGCTTACTGAGAGGGCTCTAACTAGCTCAGAGTTTCATGGTGCTGAGTTGCTTTGTGACTTCCTGACACCAGGCTCTTGTGACTTCCTCACACCAGGGCTTCCTACACCTGGCAGAGGGCACCAAGAGTTCCTCAGCTCTTCTCTATGCACTTGGGGTTCCAGGCGCATTAGATGTGCTGCCTCCTCTCTCCAGAGCAGCAGGCAGAGAGCTGGAGCAGGCCTCCACTGTCTTATGAGGGAACTGGGCTGTAACAGTGACAATAATAACAATAGCAGCATCGCTAAATGCTGCTTATATGCCAGGCTCAAGCACACTAATCTGCTAAATAGAACAAAGTTCTAAATGACTCACTCAGAAGAAATGGAAATTAGAAAATATTTAGAACTGAAGGGTAATTGAAATACTACTGTGTATCAGAATTGTGGGGATGCCTCAAAAGCAGTACGCTGAAGGAGAGGTAAAGCCTAAATCTTACCATATGAAAGAAGAAAGACTGGAAATTAATGAGCCAAGTATCTAACTCATAGAGGCTCCAGAGAAAACAGGATATTAGAAAGAAGAAACAATGGAGGACGGAAGTTGATTCTGTAGGGAACAGGGAATGGTAGAGAACACTTACAGACCATGGCAAAGGGACCCGGGGTGACGGAGGCTCCTGTAAGCGGTTCTGGGGGCGGAATGTGAGAAAGATTTGTACAGACCCAGAGTTTAAAGAAAAAGAAGTAATGCCATAAACGGCCTTAGGCCAATAACTTTAAGAATGTAGACAAGATGGACACTTTATTAGAATAACATGTGTTCGTTTCCACAAGTTACCACAAACTGTGTAACACACAAAACAAATTCATTATTTTTCTGTTCAGGAGTCAGAGCTCAGAAATGGGTCTCGTGGGGTAAAGTCCAGTGTCGGCAGGGCTGCCTGCCTTCTAAAAGCTCTTGGGGAAAATCCGTTTCCTTGCCTTTTCCATCTTTTAGAGAGGCCATTTGTGTTCCTCGGTTCTTGACCCTTCTGTCATCAATAGTGCTGGCAGTGTGGCATCTTCCAATCAACCGATCAGTCACCCCCATCTCATTCCCTCTGTGACTGTGACCCTCTTACATCCTTAAAGGACTTATGTGATTATATTGGGCTCGCCCGCGTTATCCAGGATCATCTCCCCATGATTGTCTCAGAATCCTTATTTAATCTCATCTACAGAGTCCGCTTTGCTCTATAAGACCACATTTTCCCAGGTCCTGGGGACTGAGCTGTGGACATCTCTGGGGGCCATTATTTGGCCAAATACACAGTATAACTTAAAATAAGACTAAGAAAGAAATGGGAAATCTGAATATGCCTAAAACTATGAAAGATGTGGAATCATGATGTTACAATTTACCCAGTGATTTTACAGTCCAGCAGTATCAGCCGACAAACAGAAGACCCCAGGCTGTGAGCCCGACTGGCTTGTTCCGTTTAGCAGGGAGTGTTACTCCTGAATAGAGGCCAGTGTGGAATGTAGACAGGCCACGTCAGCCCTTCTGCTCTCTGCTTTGGGGTCTCCCAGATGCAGCTACAAGGAGTGGGGGAGCGGCTGCTGGAGGTGACCTAGGGGCAGGGTGGCCAGTGGTGGTCACTGTCGGGGAGGGATGTGGAGTGCTTCCTCTGACTCCCAGTGAATGGAATTCAGGGCAGCAGAGACAAAGGCAGGGCCTTAATAATGAGGAGAGGTCTTTGCCAGACCCTTTGCCCAGTTCCCCCAGGAGTGCTCAGCAGACACCAGCTTGAGAGAGATGTTGAAGTCACAGCTACAGCAGGGTTGGCTGCACTGAGATAGACGCATCAGAGCAGACGTTACCTACTGGGTATCCCCCAGTTCCTGGCTGTTCTCCCTGCCCATGGATGGAGGGACAAGAGGCTGCCGGGAGACCTGGCACAGGCAGCTGGTGGGGCCCAAGCCCTTGCCTTGAACTATCTTATAGTGTTGAATAATCATCCTGGAAAATCTGTGTGCCTTTGAGCTGAGTGCTAAGAACCTGTTTTCCAGGTTCTGGGAGGATTGGGGCTGGCCCTGGGCCCGAGTGATGTCTCCGGGCACCCTGAGCCTAGCGAAGATGCAGGCAGGACGAAATTAGCATAGATGTGCCCTGGCCGAGTGGGCCCTGTTGCTGGTGTGAGCAGGGTCAAGAGGCAGGGACCCCCTGGTATATGGGGGAAGGGGGATCAGATACAGAGGTTCTCTAAGATATCATCATGAGAAAAGTACTTCACAGTGCCATAGCATGCTGCCATTTGGGTAAAGAAAGAGGGAAATAGAAAACCATACATATTCGCTTAAAGGTGCGCCAGTACCTGCATGTCTGGGAAGAAACCAGGAGAGTGACCGTGGCGGTGACAGGAGAGTCCTTTTTCATTGAATATACTTTTCTGCTCTGCACTTTTTACCATTATATTTTTTAGAAATTCTATGTAAAATGTCACTGGTCTGTGTCAGTGGTGATAATAGTTCGGAGAGTTGAGGGAACATGCCCAATCACATGGGCAGCATTTGTCTGACCACATGCTGCCAGAGCAGCTGACCAGGTTTGCCCCTGCTTATGGCCATCGGGTCAGTGTCAAGAGTGCCACCACCTAGCCCAGAGATCCCTATCCCTCTCTGCTCCTGCCTTTGCCTATCTTGGCCGTGGGAACACTGGGCCTGCCAGGAACCAGTCCCCTTGTCCTCCTCCAGGGTATCATTGCAGAAGAGAACAAGAACCTGCAGCCTCAGGGAGAGGAGGACCCTGGGAAGTTCAAGGAGGCCGAGCTGAAGATGCGGAAGCAGTTTGGGATGCCCGAGGGGGAGAAGCTGGTGAACTACTATTCCTGCAGCTACTGGAAGGGCCGCGTGCCCAGGCAGGGCTGGCTCTACCTGACCGTCAACCACCTGTGCTTCTACTCCTTCCTGCTGGGCAAGGAAGGTGAGCATGGACTCCCCTGCAGCCCTCTGTCCCCCAGCTGGTCTTCCTCAGCCCCTCCGCCCTCACCCCCGACCTTACCTCCAGAAAGTTCACCACCTTTCCAGACTGCTGAGGTCCCTGAGGGGTCTCTTTCTTGGCCCCCAGACATTCTGTTCCCACACACGCAACCACTGGGTCTCCCCAAAACTAAGTGCCCCCTCAGTGCCCCACGACAGGAATACCCAGACTTGAGCCAGGCACACACCTGGCTCTTGGGGACTCTTGTCGCATCTGTCTACCAGTGTGGTTCTTCACATAGTGACTTTCTGCACAGGGCCACCCTCTTTCTTTTTCATGGAGCATTGGAGACACATGTCCACGAATGGCTCCAGGTTACTCCGTGCCTGGTGCAACAAGTCCCTCCCTGGGGGCAGTCCTTGCCTCAGGGGCAGCCAGTGCCCTCTGCTGCCACCTTGCCCCTAGAAAGAGCCCCCAGGGCTCCAGCTGTCCCAGTATTGCCTTCCCAGCCCAGCAAGGCCTTCTCCCACCATGCACACACCTGCCACATCCTCTCCACACCTCATCAGGCAAGGGCTAGTGTCACTCTGTGCTGGTCACACCATGTTGTGACTTTTGTCTTCATATCAGTGCACTCTCACTAGATGGGCCTTCCTGGCACCAGAATCTCAACAATCTCTCCTACACATGTTCATTTATGTCACGTGAGCTGTTCATGGGGCAAACAGGCACCCAGTCTATTCTCAGGGCCAGTGCTGGGTTGGCCTGGGCCGCAGCAGAGACCCCCCCGCAGCCTGTCCCTGGTCAATGCGCACATGTCCTGGCACAGCTGGGCTCAGGCGCAGGGCATGCTGGGAATGCAGTTTCCTTTGTGGGTTCCGGGTACAGGCGGAAGGCAGGAGCCCGCCCTGCCCAGCCTTTGCGCCCATTTGACCCAGTGGTACTCTGTCCCTGCGATGTCCAGTAAGCCTGGTGGTGCAGTGGGTGGATGTCACACGGCTGGAGAAGAATGCCACACTACTCTTCCCCGAGAGCATCCGCGTGGACACCCGGAACCAGGAGCTCTTCTTCTCCATGTTCCTCAACATCAGCGAGACCTTCAAGCTCATGGAGCAGCTGGCCAACCTGGCCATGCGGCAGCTGCTGGACAGCGAGGGCTTCCTGGAGGACAAGGCACTGCCTAGGCCCGCCCGGCCGCACCGGAACATCTCAGCTCTGAAGCGGTACGCAGTCCCAGGGAGGGAGGTGGGTAAAGGTGTGGCTGCAGGAAGGCACTGAAAAAATGCACAGAGGGGTTGTCCTAAGAGGCACATTCATCCTTGCCACCCCATCATGAGGAGGTCTCCCACAATCCTTGGTGTCAGAGAAGCTGAGGCACAGAAAGGCTAAGAAACTTGCCCAAGGCCCCTCAGCAGTAAGCAGTGGAGCCAGGATATGACCTGCAGCTGGAGCCCTCCTGTCTTCCCTACCACCTCGATCAGGGCGCCCCCAGAGGCCGCTCTGGCCGCTACAGTGATCCCATCCCATGTGCACGGACTTCCTCCCACTGTGACTGACAGCTCTTCTCAGCACCCCTTGGCCAGTGGCCCCTCAGAGCTGTAGCCATGGAGCCCAGGCCTGGGGCCAAAGTGCTGCCAGGGAGGTCTGAGGTCTCTGCCGCCTTGTCTGTGGCAACTGGTAGACAAATGGACAGATAATGGTGGCCAGCCCTCCGAAGGAGCACTTTTGTGCACTCCTGAGCGGTAGATTCACTGGAAACCTGCAAGGCTGGCTGGGAGCTCAGAGGTTCCCTGAACCCTGGGGTCCCACAGGCAGTTCACACCCACGTGCTCGGAGACCATGGCCCAGGCCCAGAATCAGGTGTGCCTTTGGACAAGAACACTGTACACAGACATCACTCTCCTGGTGTGGCAGGATGGCTTTTGGGACCTTCTGGAAAGAAAACGAGGGGAGCCAGGACTTGACAGTCCCTGGTAGGCACTGTCCAAGGTTTGCTTACCAGGCTCTAAGCAGGCTTCTGGTGGCCCCCATGGGGCTTGGGGGAAAGAGATGTTGGCCAGGCCCCTGCCTCGCACAGCCATGGGCCAGGCAAGTGTGTGTTTTAAATCAAGCAACAGCATCATGTGTTTTAGTCTTAACTCCACACTTGCCTGTCGGAAGGTCCTTGCCTAGGTTACTAGGTGGGGCTGGGTCCTCCCAGTGAAAAGTAGCAGAGCAGGTGCAGGGACCCTCTGGGCAAGCAATGTATCATACTCTGTCAGCTTCTAGGTGTCCTCCCACAGCCATCAGGTCTCAAGGGCATGTTGTTTGCTGACCACTCCTCTGCTGGTTGTATGAATGTCCCGCATTTTACTAGGCCATTTAAGATGCATGTTTTCTTGAACTCTGAGATCCCTGGGTATGACTTGCTCATGGGAGGACCCTAAAGATCCTAGATCCAGTATGGAAACACAATACTTGTCCCTTGCCCTTCCACCCCCACCGTGGTTTCCCCAGAGACCTGGACGCCCGAGCCAAGAATGAGAGCTACCGGGCCACATTCAGGCTCCCTGGGGATGAGCGCTTGGACGGCCACACAAGCTGTACCCTGTGGACACCATTCAACAAGCTGCACATCCCTGGCCAGATGTTCATCTCTAGCAACTACATCTGCTTTGCCAGCAAAGAGGAGGATGCCTGCCACCTCATCATACCCCTGCGGGAGGTGAGCACCCAGGCCTGGGCTGGCTCCACCCTGACTCGCCTGAGCAGCCCCTTGGCATTCAGTGGTGGGCGCCTGAAGGGGATGTGGTGAGTCAGTGCCCATTCGAGTGTCCGCCCTGTGCCAGGCCTCACAGCAGTGGGTGCACCAGATGCCCCTCAGAGGTCGCCTCACCTAGCGGGCAGAAGGGGTGGGGCTTTAGGTGCTAGGAGAACTCACACTGGGACATAAGAAAATCCAGGAAGGATCTGTATCTTCCTGCTGGGAGTGACCAGGGAGTGTCCCTCAGTCTTGCCTTCCTGGCCTGCATCTGGGTTTGGAGGATGCTGACCCCACACCAGCCCCACCATGTCACCTTCAGAGGCCCCCTCACTTTTCCTCTCCGACACCTGTCCTAGCTGTGGCTCAGGTGCCATAGTGTCATCAAAAGTCAGCTCTCAGCTGTCAAGGTAGGGTTAGCACTCACCTGTCAGAGGTGGAGGCCATTTGTCCTCCGCTGCAGTGAAGAATGTACGGCAAGGGCCCTCACCCAGACAGAAGGCACCGACCCTGAGGTCAGGGCAGGTCTCAAGGCCTCCTTTTCCTCATGGCTGAAGCACAGTGAGGTTTTTAAGTTATAATTTATATTTTTTATTTTATTTTTATTTTATTTTATTTTATTTTTCAAGTATACATTACATTGGTTAGACATCTATATAGTTCGTAAAATGATCCCCCCAATTGCTCCCCTGACCCTCCACCTAGCCAATGTATTAATGCTAATTGCGCGCCTACAGCACCTAGTCTTCCTAGGTAGTCTCCCATCTTAAGTTATAATTTAAACTGCAGTGTTTTGATTTGATTAAAAATCCAGAGCAGTGAGATCTTCTTGGCATTTACACAAAGCCCTCGAATTACAAGTGTAGCTATGACTAGGTATGGGGTAGTGTGCTGCCTCAGTTCCCAAAGAGAGTCAGAGGCTAAGGACTCCAAAAAGCCACAGCCCCAGAAGCTCTAGGCTGAGGGGCTAAGAGGCAGCCCCTGACCCCACAGTCCCTTAGGCCCAGGCCCATGGGTTTGTCCTGGGTGCTGTATTGACATGGGCCTGGGGCTGGCTAAGGGGTCTCCTCAGGTCTCCAATCCATCCAGCCTGATGTCTAAGGCAGACTGTGCTGGCTGAGCCAGGAAGCAAGATAGCCTTGTGCCCTTGGTAGGGCGCTGCAGCTGGTCAGGATGAAGGCCAGTGCTCAGCGTCCCAGCCAGCGGGCCTCCACAGGCCTCCTCACTCAAAGCCAGTTGTACTTGTGTGTCTGGTGGGCTCTTGAATTTGCACCCTCAAATGTGTTCTGTTCATCCCACCCCAGGCAGCGGCTCCCCTTCCCTCCATCTGCTCTGGTGAAAAGCTGGGGCTACCCTTGATGCTGACCTGGCATCATTCCTGCATCCTGACCATAGCATGTCCCTTCCTCTCCACGGGCACCATCTCAGACACCGCCTCAGGAGTGTCCTGCCCACATCTAACCACTTTAGGACTCAACCTTCCGCAGCAGCCAGCTCATTTTAAAACATTGGTCAGAGCATGTCAGTGCCCTGTGTGGAATCCTCCAGCATCTTCTCCTGTGATTAGGAAAATCCCCAACTGCCTGTTGGACCTGTGCAACCTTTAGTGAGCCCTCTGCCTCTTCTCAGATCTCAACTCATACGTATGTATACATGTGTGCATGCACACTCACACATGCACTCTCACATACATGTATGCACACACACATACCACACCAAAACATATCATACACGTACACTCACGTGTACATGTAACATACACACCACACACACAAGCATATATACGTATGCCAGTACATGTACATATACCACCCCCACATGCATGTAAGCGTAATACTCAGAAATACACACCACATACATTAATGTACACACACATGCCCCGCCCACCCCTGCTTACTTGGCCCAGCTTCCCCAGCCTTTCCTTGTCTATCAGGCCAGTCAGGCACCTCCTCAGGGCAGTTGCTGGGTCTCTGTCCCAGCTCCTTACCTGGCTGCACCGGGTCTCAGTTCAGCTGCTATGTCCCCTGAAGAGCCCAGCACAAAGCAGCCTGATGACCTCCCAGCTGGCCTTATCACTGTCACCACCCCTGGTGACCACACGTGTTCAGCCTGCATGGCCATTGTGTAGCCCTGCTGTGGGCTCTGTGGAGGCATCCCTGAAAGCCCATCCTTTGCCCTCCAGTTCATGCCTATGCTGCTCTGTCCACATGCCTTGGTGTCAGCCAGGCCCAAGAAGCACCTGTCAGCAAGTATGCTGGGAACCAGCAATTAGGATGCCATGCAAGCGGCCTGCCTGCCAAGCTTCAGAGCAGGGGAAGAATCGGCCATCTTGAGACGCTGCTAAGGGCCAGAAGCTAGGCTTACCGTCCTCAGAACAGTCCAGCAGGGCTGATGTGCTCACTCCCATCAACAGGTGAAAAAATGAAGTCAAGATCTCCACATAACTTGCTCATGGCAGCAGGCAGCAGAGTTGGAATGTGAGCGCCAGTCCATAGAGCGCACCCTGCCAGGGCCGCTGTGCTCTCCCCAGGGCATGGGCCCTTCCGGTTCTACATCCCCAGACACCGACACTCAGTGTTCTTACTTTCCCAGGTGACCATTGTCGAAAAAGCTGACAGCTCCAGTGTCTTGCCCAGCCCTCTGTCTATTAGCACCAGGAGCAAAATGACCTTCCTGTTCGCCAACCTGAAAGACCGTGATTTCTTGGTTCAGAGGATCTCTGACTTCCTCCAGAAGACGCCGTCCAAACAGCCGGGTGGCCTTGGGGCAGGGAGGAAAGCCATTGTCAGCAACCCAGTTCCAGAGGTGAGAGGGTGCGTGAGAGCAGCAGGGTGGGGGTCCAGGCCAGGATAGGAGCCCAGGCAGCCCTGTGGTGCCTGCCATAGGTCTTGGTGGGAAGAGTCCCCACTGGATTTGGGGCAAAGAGCCTTGACCCAGCCCCAGTCTCAGGTGCCAGTCCACACTCACTGCCCAGGGTCACAGGCCTCTGCACCCTGCCACACCCCTGCCACACCCCTAGTCCCACTGTTGGTGATCCACCTCCGCAAGTCCCATTGCCCAGGAGAAGCCTTCTCTAGCAGACCTTCCACCCTCGTGAGCATGTGCTGCACTGAGAGCCACACCATGTAGGCCCGTCCAGCTAGAGAGCTGGGGTTCATTCACCTGGCCTTCCTCCTGTCACTCAGTCTTAAGATCCCTGCAGGGAAAGATCCCCTTTTAAGGATTTCACCGCAATCTCATCATTACACCAACAAAACAAACAAGAATTCCTGAATGTCAAGTACTTATATTCACATTTCCCCAAGTGCAGATGCACTTTTTACACTTTAATCATGGAAATTATGGTACATGTTGGTTACATATCACTCTTTTTTCTCTATAGACTTTGCATTCACTTGTGCCTCTCCCTCTCTACCCCTCTCTCCCTCCCTCTCTGTCCTTCTTGCTCTCTCATGCTTTCTCTCTACCTCTCCCCCTCTACCTCCCTCCCTCCCTTCCTGCCCTTTGCTTTCTTGCGGTATTTTGTTGATGGAATCGGGTCATTTGTGCTGTAGAATTTCTAAAATTTTGGTTTTTGTGGCTGCATTCCCCTATTTCCTATAAGTTGGTGATTGAGTGGTGAGATCCAGGTTCAATTGTTTGTGTTTTAGGGGACAGGTCTACTTGTAGGCAGGATTGAGATAATGTGTCTTCTACCAAGAGGTATACATACGATACCTGGTCATCTTGTCGGGTGCTGTCACCCATCATTGGTGAGCATTGCCTAGATCCAGTCACTTATTGGGGATTAGAAGATGGCGGCCCCCTTAGTCTGTCATTCCTTTGTTCATTAGCTGGAATACTCCCATAGAGAAACTTCCCCTCACCAATTATTTTGTCACCCTGAGGCACAGTTGACATAGGAAAGGGAAAAATAAATCTTTTATTCTTTCCTTTTTTTCACCAATTGTTAAAATGATGAGTTGGTTGTCTGGTATCCTCCAAATGTGACCAATTCGTTATGTTTATTTTTTAGTATAATTATGAACTTGCAGTTTTAAGCAGCTTGATGTGTTTCAACTCATGACAGTTATTGCCCTCAATCCCTCTGTGACCAGAGGGAGCTTATTCAGGTTGGTACCTGTGTCCGTTTCACATGACCCTGGCTGTGTTTGATCACTTCCTTGCTTCCTAGTGTGACAAGATGTGTGTGCTGCTGGTTATTCTGAATTTGTGAAAATACTTTATGCTTAGAAGAGTCCATATAAAAATCAGCAGCCCTGGCATTTCAGGGCCCACATTCCCACTGGGTGGCTTTGGAGCTGAGTGATGGCACATGCCCTCCAGTTCCCCAGAGCCTCACCTGAAGGCCTTTAAGTTTTCCACCTCTGTAATCAATGCTCAGTAAGTTATTAAGGAGGTAAGGAATAGATGGCAGGGGGCCTAGCAGAATCAGTATTCATTAGAGCCCAGCAGAATCAGTATTCGTTAGAGACATTAAAAAAGATTTCTTAGAGCAGAGGTCCCTGACGCCTGGTCCAAGAACCAGTACCAGTCCTTGACCTGTTAGGTACCAGGCTGCACAGCAGGAGGTGAGCTGCCAGTGAGTGAGCGAAACTTCATCTATAATTACAGCCACTCCCCAGCACTAGCATCACTGCTTCAGTTCCACCTCAGATGATCAGGCATTAGATTCTCATAGGAGCACCAGTCCCTTGTGCCAAAAAGGTTAGGGACCACCGTCTTAGAAGATGTTAGGCTCGATCTGAGATTTGAAGAAAGAGTAAGATTGGATTGGGTGAAAAGGGACATGAATTTTGAGCTGCCCTCACGAGGCCCAGCACCATCCATGACAGGGCCCAACAGTCAGAGTAAGTATGGACCTGTGGCCCCTTCTGAACACGCAGCATTCATTCATCCAGCACATTTCTATTGCATCCCTGATAGGTGCCAGCTGCTACCCTAGGCAAAGAGCAGCGAACAGAGTAGACAAAATTCGTGTCCTCCTAGAGCTTGCATTCTAGTGAGAGAGATAGTAAGCAAATAAACACCCAGTGTGTTAGGTGGTGATGGGGGCCATGAATAAAAATAAAGCGTGATAAAGGATCGAGAGCGCCAGGGGAGAGCGGGGGCTCTGATCAAGTGACATTGGATCAGGAACCTGAAAGAAGTAAGGGAAGAAGACATGAAATGTCTAGGTAGAAGGTGTTGGAGGCAGAGGGAATAGTAGGCACAAAGGCCCGGAGGCAGGATTAAGCTGGGCACAGGCTGCTAAAAGAGTGAGATTAGAGGAGAAACAGGAAGCTGGAGACCCTGGTAAGCACTTCAGCTTTGACTCTGAGCAAGAACGGAAGCTGTTGGGGAGTTTTGATGAGAGGAGGGACATGACCTGTTTATGTTTCAATAGACTTTACTCTGGCCGCAATGTTAAGGATGGATTAGTCGTACAGCTGACCAATCCAGTAGCTGCACATGGCTTTTAGCAGTGAAATGCAGTTTGTCCCAATTGAAATGTGCTACAAGCACAAACTGCACTCCAGAGGTTGAAGATATAGTGTGAAAAAGAATGTACAATATCTTGATAATTTTTTATATTGATTCCATGTTGAAATGGTAATATTTTGGCTCTACTGGATTAAATAAAATATATTATTAAAATTAATCTCACCAATTTCTTCCATGTTTTTTAATGTGGCTACTAGAAAATTACATACGTGGCTCTCATTGTATTCCTCTTGGACAGTGCTGGACTAGAGAGTGGCAAGACTAGAAGCAGAGACAAGTTGGAAGGCTGTGACAGTAATCACACAAGGTGACAGAGCCTTGGTTGAGGGTGGTAGCAGTGAAGTTGGTGAGAAGTGGTCAAATTCAGGATATATATAAGAGTCCAACCTCCTCATTTTGCGTGTAGATATCCAATTTTTCCAACACCATTTGTGAGACAGAGAGAGAGAGAGAGTGAATGAATGAGAATTGTGGTAAAAGGACACATAAAACTTACCATCTTAATCATTTTTACTTGTATATTTCAATGGCATGAAATACATTCACACTGTGGTACCATCACCACTATCCATCCACAGAACTTTATTCATCATGGAAACCTTAAGTTCTATACCCATTAAACACTAACTCTTCATTCCCACCCCCAGCCCTGGTAACCACATTCTACTTTGTCTCTGTGAACCTGACTGCTCTATGTCCTTCATATAGTATTTATCCTTTTGTGACTGGCTTATTTAACTCAGCATAATATTCTGTTGTGTATATGCTACATTTTATTTATCTATTTATCTTTTGATGGACACGGGTTGCTTCATCCTTTGGGGTCTTGTGAATAATGCTGCTATGAACATGGGTACACAAATATCTCTTTGAGACCCTGCTTTCAGTTCTTTTGGGTATATACCCAAAAGTAGAGTTGCTGGGTCATATGGTAATTCTATTTTTAGTTTTTTGAGGAACTTCCATACTGTTAATATACCATTTTATATTTCTACCAACAGTGCACAAGAATTCTGAAATCGCCATATCCTCGCCAACACTTATTGTTTTCTGTTTTTTGGATAGTGGCCATCCTAATGGGTGTGAAGCGGTATCTCATTATAGTTTTGATTTACATTTTCCTAATGACTAGTGAGTGATGTTAGCATCTTTTTTATGTGCTTATTGGCCATTCATATATCTTCTTTAGAGAAATGTCTATTCAAGTCCTTTGCCTAAATTTTTTAATAGGGTTGTTTGATTTTATCATCTAGTTTTAGAAGTTCTTTATATATTCTGGATATTAACCTTTTAGCAGATATATGATTTTCAGATATTTTCTACCATTTCATGGGTTGCCTTATTCTGATCATTCTATCCTTTGATGCACATACATTTTTAATTTTTATGTAGTTCAGTTTATCTATTTTTCTTTTATTGTGCTTTTGATGTCACATCCAAGAAATGATTGCCAATTCAGTGTTATGAAGCTTTTCCTCTATGTTTTGTTCAAAGAGTTTTATCAATTTTAGATTTTCCATTTAGGTATTTGCTTCATTTTGAGTTAACTTTGGTGTATGGTGTGAGGTAAGGGTCCAACTTCATCATTTTGCATGAATATCCAGTTTTCCCAACACCATTTTTGTTAAAACTATTCATTCCCCATTGAGTGATATTGGCAGCCTTGTCGAAAATTATTTGACCGTGTAATCGAGGGTTCGTTTCTGGGCTCTCAGTTCTATTCCACTGGTCTATATGTCTGTCTTTATGCCAGCACCACATTATTTTAGCTTTACAGTAAATTTTTAAATCAGGAAGTCTGAGATCTCCAACTCTGTTCTTTTTCCAACATAGTTTTGGATATTTGGAGTCCCTTGAGTTTTCACTATTATTTTAGATGGATTTTTGGATTTTTACAAAAAAAGTCATTGGGATTTTGCTAAGGATTGCACTGAATCTGTAGATCACTTTGTGTAGTACTGATGCCTTAACAATTTTAAGTGTTTCAATTCATGAACAAGGAATGTCTTTCCACTTAGTTATGTCTTCTTTAATTTCTTTCAACAACATTTGTTACTTTTCAACATACAAGTCTTTCACCTCCTTGGTTCACTTTATGCATAAATATTTTATTCCTTTCTGTGCTGTTGTTAATGGAATTGTTTTCTTAATTTCCTTTTTGGATTGTTTAGTGTGAATATATAGGATATATTCTGAAGAGAAGTCTCAGAGTAAGTGAAGGATTAGATGTGGGGTATAAGAGAAAGAAAAAAGACACTGCGGTTTTTGCCTGAGCAGCCTGAAGAACGTGTGAGATGGTTACACGGAGGGGAGAGATTCCGGCCTGGGAAGGTGCAGAATTCGTAGGTGGCTCCGTTGGGAGCTCACCATCGCGCTGGAACACCCGTGTGGCACGCGGGACAGTGATTGCTGAGATTGCACCCTTGTCGGTCTCCTTTTCTGGCACTGAGATGTTTGATTCTCTGCAGTGCTCTGTGGCCTGCAAGTTTGTTTGCATCCTGGTCCCTTTGGGGCACCTCGGGCAGAAAGCGTACCCTGCATCAGCATGCTCTCGGTTTAGACTGGGGTCTGGCCCCCTGGATTCTAGCAGTTTGTCATGCAAAAGTATTACAGTGGACCCAAAATCCATTTAAAAGCACCACCCAGGGCCCAAAGAGTGGACTGTGGTTGTGAACCTAGCAGAGTTCTCTTTTATTCCCTTTTTTTATTTTTATTTTTTTTAAAAACCACTCTCCTGAGGTAAAATGGACATACAATGTGCTGTATGTATTTGAAAGAGTAGAGTTTTATGGATCTAACAGGCATTCCCGGTGAAGCCATTACAGTCACAGAAAGAATTCTCATGTAGGCTGGGTGGGCAGGATCAGAGCCGACAGGAGGGCTCAAGGGCAGAAACCAGCCCAGGCTGGAGCTCACAGAGGGAGCTTACTGGCCCACAAAGCCGAGAAGTCCATGTAGTGGCCACCTGTCATCAGAGCCAGCCACTGTCCACTGGACATGGCTTCTGGCCAGCAGAACGTCATCCCCGGGCCATGTGTGGTACCAGGATGGTGGAGTCCCCTGCATCCTCCTTGGCTCATCCTGAAGTTTCCTGTAAAGTCACCGCTACATTTCCTTGGTGGTCACTGGGTAACACCTGAGTCCCTGGGTCCCCTGAGGTTGGGGGTAGGAAATGCCAGTTATCTCGGGGCCATCACCTTAGGCCTCAGCAGAACCCACAAAGCATGGGGCCGAGAGTGGAGAGAGATGTATCCCCACATGACAATGTAGAGCTGCTGCTGGCAGAAGGGGAAGTGAATTCCGGGCAGCCAGTGACCAATGTCCACTGGGGAGCAGTGGTATTGCTGCCCCTGGCACTCCGGAGGATGCCAAGGGGAGACTCAGAATGGGCACTGTCTCTGGACCACCCAACCCCCAGGCCAGCGGACAAGCCACAGGCCCCTTGCCCATGGTGGTAAGCTCACCTGGAAGTCAGATGCCTGCAGGCAGAACACAGTCTAGCGAACAGGGGCAGGTGTCAGGCGTCACCCACACACAGTGCCTGAAGGGACTCAGACACCAGGGCTTCCCTGAGGAGATGGGATCAGGCTACAAACACACCTGCTTGCCCTGCTGGCAGAGGTTCCAGAAAGCTAGGGAAGAACACTGAAAGTCAGGGCTTCCTTGCAGACCTTTGTCCCTGATGCCCCCTTTCCTTCGGCCAGTCCCTTGTTGCCTCCAGTATGCTTCCAGAGCCACCACAGGGTCCCTTTCTCTTGCCCTCAGTTATCTGTGCAGTGGGAAGGCAGATTACCAGACTCCTGCAGGGGGAGGCACCCCCCCAATGCAGGTTAGACTCTGTGAGGGGCAGCCCACTGCAGTGATGGTACCACTGGTGACCCTTCCTCACGCCCACTTCTAGGTCTGTGTTTTTATCTTCACCCCCAAAGCCCTGGCAGCCTGGTGGGAAGCCCAGCAGACCGTTGAAAGCTGGTCTGTAGATGGCAGGAGGCACGTGGGCCAGCAAGCGGAACGCCCCCAGAGGGCCTGAGCAGGAGAACACCTTCCCTCACTCGGCACCACAAGAGGAACTGGCACAGTTAGGACCCTGTCAGTCTGCAAAGGGTGTGGCATGTGCTCGCTTTGGCAGCGCATGTAACTGAAAAGGGCATGGCCTGCTGTCAGGTGGGGGCCTGTGCTGGGTGATCTTCGATGTCGCCTGGGCTCCACTCCCTTTCCCTGAGTAGCTCTGTGCCTGGGCTCATGGGGTCCCC